GTCAGTTAACACTCAATCCCGACGCGTCGAGGTAAGAATTGGCAGCGAAGCTCCTGCTGACGGATCATGGGCACTTTCTACGGCGGCGGAGGCGCTCCCGCGGGCGGCGCCGGCTGCGGCGTTGCCCGTGACGGCGGCCATGACGGCGGCGGCGACGCAGGCGGCGGTGACGGCGGCGGCGGACTCGGAGGCGGCGTCGCAGTCGGCGGCGGTGTCGGCGGCGGCGGCGACGGCGGCGGAGGCGAGGGCGGCGGCGGCGACGGCGGCGGTGGCGAGGGCGGTGGAGGCGAGGGCGGCGGCGAGGGCGGCGGAGGCGACGGAGGCGGCGGGGAAGGTGGCGGCGGGGAAGGTGGCGGCGGGCTCGGAGGCGGCGTCGACGGCGGCGGCGGCGGTGAGGGCGGCGCCTTGGGCAGCGGCGCGACGGGCGGCTTCGGGGGCGGCGAGGGCGGCGGCGGCGAGGGCGGCGGCGTGGGGGGTGAGGGTGGCGATGCTGGTGGTGGGCACAAGAGCAAGTCGCCGCTAGTGCAGCACAAATTCCAGGTGGCGAACCCGCGGGTTCCATTCGTCTCCCAGTACATCGTGCGGTTGACAGCGTCAACAACCGTACCTCCTTTCTCTGCGTCTATGAACTCACACTCCTTACCACCCGTTGCTTCCATGCACCTGGCTTTCGTGGCGTCCGGGTCAGTCTCGACAACAAAGGTCCCCCCGCACTGCCGCGTTCTCCCCGAAGAATCTGTAGAGAGGTTGCCGACGACTCCGATTTCCACGCTCTCCTCCTCCATGCACGCTGTCACGAAACCGTCTCTGGATACAGCGTGGAGCTGGTCGCAGCTCAGGCCCTCGTCCCGCCCCTGCACCGCCGGGTCAGAGGTCGCCCTCGGGCACGATGGCGTAAGGCAGCCTATCTTCTTTTTGGCCCAGGGCGGGGTCGGCTCGTAGTACTCCTCGCACGCGGCATAGCATGCCGCCATGGTGGGGCGCCACGTCACGTCCCGCCCGGTGGAGACGAACCGGTTGTTGATGTTGTTCGCGCAGAGCACCAGCTCCGTTCGCGACGACGCCACTTCGTAGCAAGAGTTGAGAGGGTCGGACGGCGGCGACGGCAGCGCCGGCGGCGCTGGCGGGAACGCTGGCGGCGCTGGCAGCGCCGGCGGCGCCGGCGGGATCGATGGCGGCGACGGCAGCGAAGGCGGCAACGACGGCGTCGGGGGCGGAGGGGGCGGAGAGATGGGCGGAGGCAGAGCCGTCGCGGCAGGCAGCAGGGCCTTGAAGACGAGCGCGGCTGTGCCGCCGTCGCCCATGCCGACGACCGCGAGGAAAGCGATGAAGATGCTGAGCAGGTGGGGCTGGCAGAGGCGGCCAGGGCCGCAGCGCGGCGAGTCGAGCGAGGGCTTCTTGGCCCGCTTCTTGGGCGAGAGGGGCGTGCCCTGAGCGGGCAGGCGGGGCGCAGAGCGAGTCGGGCGCCGTCTGCCAGGCGCATTGAGGTCTTCGGCAGGGAGGAGGAGCGCGCACCGAGGGCGTGTAGGGCGGCGAGTCGGAGCCGTCGGACGCCTCGCCGCACGCCCTGCCGCGCCGGAGAGGGCCCCAAACTGGTTGGCGCCGCCGACCTTGCTTGCGGCCTTGGAGGAGTCCATCTTGGACTCAGGCTTGCGCTCGTTCACGAGCGGGTTCGTTGTCCAGTCGCCCTGTGGCGGCGCGCGGAGATCGTGCAATCCCATCTCGGGCCTACTTCTAGGGGAGATCGCTTTGAGCTGCGGGAGATCGACTGTTGTGATGTTAGAGGTGGGTTAAGAGGGAGATTCGCGCGAGCTGCGGGACCGCCGGGACGGCGGGCGGGTGATTGCGAGCCGCCACGTTTGGCGACTTTTGGCGACTTTTGGGACGCGCGATCGACCGAGAATCGATCATGGCATGGCAGGCGAGGCCGTCAAGAGAACCCCGGCGAGAAACCGCGGGGGGGTGGGGGTGAGGGAGAGGCTGCAAGAAAGATCTCGCCGCCGAGCGCGCCTCGTCCTCCGTGGCCTCCGCCGCCTTCAGGTGTTCTTGTTCGCGGCGATTTGCTGGAGTATCGTTGGCGAAGGGTGCTTGGTGGGGCGAGACCATCATTCGCTGACCCTCAAGATGCACCTTCGAGCACCGTCGTGAGCGAGCGGCAGCGTCGATCAACATGGGCACCCCACAACGCGATGCGCCTGGCGGCAGGGCGGCCGGGCGAGGGTGAGCGGCAGCGGGCGACGAGAACCACGGGCGGTGGTCGGGACAGATGGGCGAGTGACTGCTCGCGAAAGGCAGTGGCTAGCGCTCGCTTTCTTCATCATCTCGTCACGCGGACCGACAGCGGGCATCGGCGTCCCAATTCGGCGCAAATCGCTTTTCTTTTAGCTTTAGCCGTTGTGTACTTGTTTCGTGTTCGCTTTCTCTTTTAAGCCTCCCTTTTGACCGCGCAAGATAAAAGGGTGGCTAAGGGCTCTGCTCGCAAGGCGCCCGCGTCGCCGACGCGGTACCAATGACTAATCCCGGGATTCACACCCACTGCCGACCCACACGACCAAATAGCGAAAATCCGAATACCGTGCAAAAACCACGGAACGTGAGACGAAGAACGGTGGCAAGTTTGGCTAACTCCATAACATGGGCGATCCAGCGCTTCCTTCGAGAGAGAGAGATTTTAGAATCTCTTCTTCCTTCGATTGGACGGACGAAATGAATCGGGAACAGCGGGACCGCCATCGCGACATCTGGGGGTACACCATATGCCGGGTCGGCATGCCACGTACCGGCTTACGCTCACGCCTGCGACCGAGGCGGCGCTGCTGCAGCTGAAGGAGTGCGGAGAGAACAAGCAGCTGTTGTCCCGTTGCGCGCTGTGGTGCAGCAGCGATGCCCTTGAGGCGCTTATCGTGCTCCAGAAGAAGCGCTATCCGTACCAGGTGGTCCAAGCTGGTGAGTGGGGTGAGTGCATCTTGCCGGGGGCGTGGCAGGCGATCGTGTTCGACGACGATCAGTGGCAAGCCGTTACCGTGATGCAGGGCGCATGGGTCCGTGACTGGACGGAACAGCGCAGGCGCAATGACCTCACCGAGCCCTTCCGGCCCCTCCCTGTGTGCGCCTGAGGGAGGGTGTAGAGGATGTAGAGTGTAGAGCGCTGTAGAGCTGTAGAGATGTAGAGCGCTGGAGAGCGCTGTAGAGCTGTAGAGCTCTACATCCGCCGCGGGACGAACTGCGTGCGTTGTAGAGTGATGTAGAGGCGCTCTACAACGTGAAATCTCTACAACAAACTCTACATCATAAGGGGCGAACGAGGCACGGTCGCTCTCCGACATGAGGCGCGTTGCACTTGCCAGTGCTGCCCTGGCCTTCTGTCTGCCCGCCCAATGGGTGGCAGGTGCCTCTGCTGCTGTGGTATGCCTCACGGCTGCGACTGGCCGGCGCCTCGGCGCGTCAGCTCGGCTCGGCGTAGCGATAGTGGCCAGCGCAACTCGCCTGGACTCAACGCTCAGCCAGGAGCTCCCGCACGCGCTGGCGCGAGTCATGGCGCATGCAACGCGTCTGAATGCTCGCCTCGCCTCGCGCAAATGCGACCGTCCTCGCAGCCGACAGTCCACCGCCTGCTAAAGAAGCACAGCGACGAATGCGGCACTGGCGACGCATGGCAGGCTGGTCATGACGCAGTCATAGGGTGTTGTGTGCCGTCAGAGTGACTCTCTGTGTGTCAGGGATAGTCAGGGCCGTCCATCAGGGCTCCAGTAAGCTCGGAGACGCCCCATTCGCGCGGCTCGACCTCTTTGAGTCACTGCCTTCCCGGCGGTTTGGCTGTAGAGCCTCTACAACAAACTCTACAGCAAAATCGCGCTCTACATCGCTCTACAACGCACGCAGTTCGTCACGCGGCGGATGTAGAGCTCTACAGCTCTACAGCGCTCCAGAGCGCTCTACATCTCTACAGCTCTGCAGCGCTCTACACTCTACATCCTCTACACCCTCCCTCAGGTGTGCGCCGCACGTCGAGATCGACAGCAGGACGTGTAGAGGAGGAGGCGCCGGATGACCCAGCGGCTCATCTGCCCGACCACACATTCCGGTGGAGAGTCCGGCCGCTCGGCTCCAGCGGATGGTGTACGAGGTCTACCTGCAGCATGGGAAAGTTGTCAGGCCAGGAGTGGTGAAGGCGGAGATTCCGGGCATTTTGCTCAACGGATCCGGCAGATCGTATCCGCTTGAGCGAGCGATCAATGCAGCGAAGGTCCAGTGGGAGCAAGAAGGCCGCCACCTCCCTCGGTCGCCTCACACGACGGACGATATGCTTATGCGTGAGCGGCTGGACCGGCTTGAGCGCGCGATGGCCTGCTCGGAGAGGAGAGTGCCCGCCGCGGAATGCTGGGCGAGCAGTGCGCTCGTCTGCCCTGTATCACGAGTGGGCCGATCTCAAGGCGCGGTTCGCGGCGATCATCGAGCCCGAAACGCCGTTCGACTCAGTGTTTCGCGCGACCTCCCGGCCGAACAGGTGGTGACGAACCTCGCCGCCGTGGGCATTCCCGCCAAGGTGGTGGAGCACTGAGGGCTCGAGCGCCTCTCCCGCTGCCGGCGGCTGACCGGCCAGCCTGGCTGCGACGGCTGCGATCAGCGGTGGAGAGGACTGTGTGGTGTGATCCCTGCTCCGGTGAGCTCCGCGAGGGGTGGGTGAGGCTGGGTCGAGACGCGTGCCGCGACTGAGCACTGCGCTCTGCTGCGCGGCGCCGCGTTGCGGCACCTCACCCCGCCTCCCACGCGAACGCGTGCGCCCTCCCCGGCCCTCGTCACTCTTTTGCACGGGACGGGGAGAGGATACTTCGCACTCTGGTTCCGTGCTGTAGAGCCTACTGTATACTTGATGCAGAGCTTTCCGACGTCATTTTGTTCGCCGCTCCGCTCTCGGCGCCCGCCGCCGCGCGCGCCGCCCGCGCGCCACCCCTTTTGCGCAGCAACACCTTAAACTTCATGGCCCTCCAAATTCGGGTCGGAGCGTAGCGGAGTGCCGCCGAGCCACAGATGAGGACGCGGGAGCGCTACGAGGCCCTCCCCCCTGAACCTTCTCGGAATTTCCCCTCCACAGGACCTCGAGGAGCTCGCTTCGCTCAGCGCAGGCGACGTCGCGCCGGGTCAGCAGGCGTACTGGCTGCGCGCCCAGTTCGAGACGGGCGCGCTGCCGCGCGACCCGCTCTTTGTGCGCAACCTCGTCGAGCAGGCGCGCAGAGACCCGCGAATCGTCTCGCGGCTGGTGGCAGACATGGCGGCGAACACGGGCGGCGCGCCGCCCGCTGTCGAGCCTGGCCCCGACGGGGCCGACGACCCCGCGGGCGCCGTTTGACTCAGCTCATTCTGTGCGCGATCCACGCCGCGATGTAGATATCAGCAATCAGGGCCTAGAGCTCCCGCTGTGTGTTTTGGAATTGTCGGCATGTGTGCTTCTCGTGGGTTTTCTGCTTTTTCTCCTTCTGAAGCCCTCTCTTACGGCTTTAAGCCGCTACATTCCCTCACAGTCTCACTCTCACTCGCCCATCTCACGAGACTCTTGATGCCTTGCGGAGCGCTTCGACTTCTTCGTCGGCCGAGGTCTTTTTCTCGCGTCATATGCCGTGGTCTGTGGTTGTCCTCTCTCAGTGCGCCTGACACGGCAAGTTCAGCCCTGGAAGAGCGTCTCCATAAAGGTCGACGTCGAGCCGGAGCCGCCGCATGGGTCGAGGACCGCAAGGCCTCCGAAGACGAGGTCGGCCGGGGTCGAGTAGGGTACGCCCGGGATCTCGCCGTGCGGGCCACCGTCCTGAAAGCCTTGCAGCGCATTCCCGACGACGATGCACGCGATCTCATTGGCGGTGAAGGTGATCTCGTCCTCGCCGCTGTCGGTGTCGTTGTACTCGCCAGGCCGCCGTTGCGCGGAGCGTTGGTTGGCGAATTGCGCGTGGTTCTCCAGGTTGGCGCGGTCTTCCGTGCTCCAGTTGCTTTCGATTCGGAGGAGATCCAGCTGTCCCTCATAGAATCGCGTGTAGCGCTTCATGCGGGCAAACGCCTCGTACTTGGGTAGCGCGTTGAAGGCAGCGGAGCCATCGATCATGCGCGGGTCGACGATGAGCTCGAGGACCTCCTCCGTCGCGCCCGGGTACATGACATTTTCAAAGTGGCGCCACGACTCGACGTGCGTCTGCCAGGCGGCTGGCGAGGAGAAGGTAAATCCTCCGCAATGCTGGCAGAGCGTCTCGGGAAAGGGGTGGGCGATCCACACGTCGCTGCGGCGTTCGAGCGGGGGAAGCGCGGCCTCGCGACTCGGGTGGCAGCGGTACTGCGCCTGCCCATCCACCGTCCGCCAGCGTGGAAACTTTGCGGAGTGGTAGTCGGCGGGGTAGAAGGTTGCCTCGGAGCCGAAGAGACCGCGCTGCTGCTCCCACGGCAGACCCTTGAGAGCCGCGTGCCGCTCACTCACAGCTGCCGCTGTGTATGGCGTCAAGTACTCGGCGACCCAGCCGCCACTCGGACCATCGTACTCGGGCGCCAGCACGGACTGGAGGAACCCGAGGTGGTCAGAGGTTTTTTCGCGCATGGCGTCTTCCGAGTCAACGGCGCTGTACTCGCTGCGAATCTTGTCGACGTGGCGTGACCAGCACTCGTCCGAGCGTCCGACAGTCTTGCAGTCTTTGCTGACGCACGTGAATCGTGCGAGGTCCTCGGGTCCGAGTCGGCTGAGCACGCTCTTGACGTCGTCGTTGCCGAGATCGGACCACATGTGTCGTTATGGGCGTGAGGGCTGGTGTGAGGGCTGGCGTGAGTGGCTGCGGGCACGTTTTTCTTTTTCTTGAGGGGAAGGGACGTTGAGAAATGAGGGAGATTCGTCTAGTGATGAGGAAGGAGATGACAATCTCGGGGGAGATAGGGGTGAGGAGGAGGATGTTGAATGCATTCTCGAGGAGAGAGGTAGAGGAGATGTGGTAGAGGTGAAAGTGCGGTGGGTGGAGGGAGGGGAGGTGACGTGGGAACCGGTGGAAGCAGTGAGAGACTGTGAGGCGTATGGGAAGTTCTTGCGAGATAGGAACCGAGGTATGCGATGGAACAGGGAAGACGCCAAACCCCTTGAA